CCCCAATATCCTTGGTTATTTTGAGAATGCCATTGAATTTGATAAGAGCCTTGAAAATTGATCTGTTGCCCTTGGTAATTATTCACAATGTACCTCTTCTTCTTTTCTTGATAAGAGTCATCTTGTTCATAGCTGCCACCATCATGTGCATAAGTCTCCACACGGGATTGAAATTGGGGACCTTTATTCCTCTTCTTATTGGCCAAGACATTCTCTCCTTCAATAGCATGAACTTGCTTAGGAGCTTGAGTTTGATAAAGTTGAGCCTTAGCGGGTTGAGTCATGGTTGTAGTCAATTCGGCAATATCTTGCCCGTGTTGGGATCACCTTGGGCAACATTAGCTCGGGATTGCCAAGTCGAAGAAGTTTCTACCATCTCATCAAGAATCTCACATGCCTCCACATAAGGTGTTGTCATGAAATTGCCTCCGGCCAATTGATTCACCACACATTGATTCATGGTATTAATACCACGGTAGAAAGTTTGTTGGATCATGTTTGTAACGATCCGACCAGTCATTTTGTGTAATTGTGCCCCATTTCCCTTTTGATGCTTCACACATATATTTTTATGATTTTATAACTTACGAGGTTAATTAGTTTTGTTACGGGGAGATTTCGGGTTGATTTGGACCCTTTGAATCTTGGCTTAGAAGCCTAAGTTGTTTATGCTAACCAATGGTAGAATTATGTGAAAATGACCCCGGAACGGTATTTTGACGGCTCTGATAGCTTTATATTGTTATTTTGGACTTGGTTGTATGCCCGGAATCAAATTTGGAAGTCTGTAGGTTGATTTTGACCGTAGGTTGACTTTAAGCTATCGAGTTCGGAATTTGATTTGGGGACTTGGAATAGGTCTGTTATGCTATTTAGAACTTGTCTGTAAAATTTGGCATCATTTGGAGTTGAATTGATATAATTCAGACGCTTATTTGCAATTCTAGAAGTTCTTGATATTTTCTTTGAAATTCATGCATTTTGGTGTCCAATTCGTAGTGCTAGATGTTATTTTTGTTTTAACCGCACGAGTAAGTTTTTATGATAATTCTAGACTTGTGTCGATGTTTGGTTTGGATCCATGAGGTCTCGGATGACTTTCAGACATGTTTCAGAATGTTTTGGACTAAAAATGGAATTACTGGTGTTGCTGGTGCTATGGTATCGCAATTGCGAGCAGCAACCTCTCAATTATGAAGGTGACAAGGGGGTATTCTGATGTCGCAATTGCGACTAGCCCCTTCTTAATTGCGAAGTCAGCAAGCCTGGGGCTTGGGTCGCTTTAGCGAACAATTGTTCACTTTTGCGAAGATGTCCAGCTTCGCAATTGCGACAATTGTTGAGGCTGTCAGGGTTCGCAAATGCGATCCCTAGTCTACATTTGCGAGGGTTTGCACATGAGAACCCTGTGTCGGAAATACGACATCTGCAGCTGGACAAAAGGGTTGGGAGTCGGGATTTTTCAACATATTCTCTCGTTTTAGAACCCTAGACTCGGTAGGAGGCGATTTGAAGAAAGGATTTTCACCTAAAAATATTGGGTAAGTGATTCTAATCAATTTCTAACTATATTTTATCAATATATCTTAGATTTAAAATCAAAATCATGTGAAAATTTGTCAAGATTTTGAAAAATAAGAATTGAGTTTTGAGAGTCGTTTTGGACTCGAATATTGAAACTAATCATATATATGGATTTGTGGGGTTATGGATAGTCGGAATCTGCCCTTGGACTCAGGTTTTGACCGGGTGGTCCCGAGGTTAACTTTTGTTGACTTTTCGGGAAAATTGTGAAGATCATAGCTTTATTTATTGTAATTGATTTCTCTTGCATTTTTTATGTTATTAATTCATTTTTGGTTAGATTGGGCCGTGTGGAGGCAAATGTTAGAGGAAAAGCTATTTCTGAGGGTTGAGTTGGCATAGTTGAGGTAAGTAACTTACCTAAATTTGTGTGGGGGGAAACTACCCCTTAGGATTTGGATTGATTGTGCTATTTGTGTTATGTGAAAGCCGTGTACGCAAAGTGACGAGTGGTTACATAGGCTATATGCGGTATATGACCGGTTTACGTTGTCTAGACTCTTTCCATGCCTTTAATTGAATTGTCATAACATGTTATATCTTTCATTGTTAATCTACTCTTACATGCTCTATTTGACGTTGTTAGCACTTGTTCTACCTCTTACTTATTATTTTGCTCTTTTATGCTTTAGTTGAAGTTATTGCCTTATTGTCTTATTACCTCTTAATTGTTGAATCACTTTTAATTGAAGTTGTTATTTCGTGGAATATCATCTTGTTGAGTTAATGGTGCTGAAGTTGTAATAGTTGTTATCACATTGAGCCGGAGTTGTTAATTGTTGAGATACCTTTTCTTGTTGAGCATTCTCATTTATTTTGTTATTGTTGAAATTTTTGTATACATTGTGGTTGTTCCATGGGCTATTCGTTGTGGAAATATTGGTATTGTTAACTTTGTGTCAAGTTGTGGCATATGGGCACTTGTGGTACGAGTTGTGATTGTATTGTGATATTGATACTCATGCGGTGATATAAGGATAGGGGTTGATACGTATGCGGTGAGATAAGGTGGGCTTGATACGCGTGTTTCTAGTAGGGGAACTACTTGAAGTCACGTGGTGAGATAAGGTGGGCTAAAACACGTATAGCTATTTTAGAAAAAATAATTTTCAAAACTAAATGTAAGGCTCACGCGGTGATATAAGGAAAGATACCGATTGAAATTGTGAAATGTGAATATGATATGGTACATCGGTTGTGATTTTCATTGTACACTCCATGTTGGAACAACTTATTGATTTGAACAGCCATTTTTCTTCCTTCAATCATTCATCTACATTTTGATTATGTTTGGCTATGCGTTGTTATATTCGTGTTGGAACAATTGTGGTTTCTTGTATGAGTCGTGCATACTACGTGATTTATTGTGTTGCTTTAACTTGTCAATCTATGCCTCCGCTATAACTTGGTGAATTGACTGTTAATGTAAATTTAATTGTGTGGAGTCACTATATCATATTCTAGTGAGTTGTAGGTAATATAATGGTTTAAATAAAAGAATTATTAACATATTTTATTCAATGTGCCTCTTAATGAACTCGTTATCTCACTCGGTGCCTTATTATTCTAAATGGTTATCTTATTTTCACTATAATTGGTCTCAGATTATACTCTCACCCTGTTGGATATTTACCTTACTTAAAATTATTATCAAGTTTTTCTATAACAAATTATATATTTAATTCGTTAATTTAACTAATGTTTTGCTTTGTTTAAAAAAGGTTCTTGGATGACTTTATTGATTGCCATTTCAAGCAAAGGATTTTGGTTGTATAGCCTGCTTGGCCAAGCTTCTCCAATCCTAGAAGCATTTTCTTTTTCAAAAAAAGTAATTTTGTTTTCAAAGTTGAAGTGTTTAGCCATGCTTTTGGAAGAAAAAAAGAGCTTTTGAGGAGAAGCAGAAGGAGTTTTGGAGAAGTATAAAAAAGTAGTTTCTCTCCAAAAGCACTTTTGAGAAAAATACACTTAGAAGCACTTTTTAAAAGTTTGATCAAATATTAATTGTTTCTCAGAAGTGCTTTTCAAACTAATTAACCAAACACCAAAATTGCTTCTCACCCAAAAATAANTGTTCTTGTATGAGATTGCTGGTCTGAGGGATCATAATCTATGAGTTGATTAAAAAAATAATCTTAATTCTAGAAATAACAGTGTTGCAGGAAGAAGATCAACGACAAAGGCATTTACATGCTGAGATCCGTTATTTCAGATATTATTAAGGTAAAAATTACTTACATAAAATTTATCATTAATTTCGATTATGATTTTAATATATTTTAGTATTTTCGCCTTCTTTTTATTGTCCTTCAAGAATATTGCTTTTAATTTACTTTTCTGTAATCGAGAAAATATGTATGAAGATAATTTGGAGATATGGTCCTATGAATCTGGTGGCACTCAGATATGGTGCATCACTTTTCTTTCTAACTTCTCTTGGAAGCGTTCTTAAGACACAATCGCATGTTAAGAAATTACAGTAGTACAAAATTTCCTAGAACATCAGCTCTTTTAGGGAATGGAGAATTGAGGAGGAGATTAGGGAATATAAATGGAAAAAAAATGGAACAACGAAAAAGAATATGAAAAGAAGTATCTAACCAAATTGTATTTCAATTAACAGACACTGCAACTTGCATCGACATTTGTTTCTGTTTTCCTTTCCTCTTTCTATTTTGGTTTATTTACTTTTCATTTTATTTTTATTATATTTGAGAGCAAATTTTAGAAAAACAAATTTTTACTATTTAATGGAAGAAAGAAAATCAAGATCTAATTCTAATACATATATTTATATTTCTGATTTCATCAATTTATCGAATTAATTTTTGTATGTATATACTATGTACGTGGCAGAAAATACCAGATTCTTTTAGCAGGTAATGGAGATATTCTAAGCATTCCATTAGTTATATATCAACGTTCCAATAAAAATACTTGTATGCATCAAAAACTCCAGGTTCCTCGGGGTAAATGCATTAAAAAGGGACGGGGCTAAGCGATTTGCCGAAGCTGTTATGTAAAAATACATCGGTAGGGGAGCATTCCGCCTTAGAGAGAAGCCTCCGCGCGAGCGGTTTAATTTTCAATCTCAACAAAGTATACAATATTATGTAAAAAAAATTATTAACATCATATATAGTTTCGCGCGAGAAAATTCACTAGTCTTTTTTATAATATCAATGTATATAACTTATACTCAATTAGAATTGGCATGGATACCGCTATTATAGGATTCAGGTAAAAGTAGTTTGATGGGATTCACAGATTCTTCAATGGATGATAAAAATAGGAATAATAAGCCAAAATCAAAGGCCGACCAGCTATATGATAAAAGTACGGAAAGGAAATTATCACAAAACATCTTTCTAACACGTATGAAGGCAAAAGAAAACAAAAGTTGCACTAGATATCTAATCTCAAACTACATCTATCTCTCCTATTGATGAGCTCTCATCTCGGAATGTACCTGCACAAACAACACATAAATGTTAGGAAAGTGAACGGGGAAATATGGAATGTACGAAGGAAATTAATAAAAATGCGACAGCGTTATCATAATTTATACATTCTACATAACAAGCCGTTACCTTGAAATAAATGATTCTTTATCTTTGTCTTTTCTTTCCGTTTGCTTGAAGCGAATTGTATGGATCGCTTCAATAATACGAGGGTTAGCTGCCAACATTTTTCTATCAAGAGGAACCCAATCGCCTCCTATCGTCTTCTTGTACTCTATCTGAGCATTTATGAGATACTCTTTCCAAGTACATTTGGTAAGTCTCCACCGGTACTTCTTCAACAATTATTGACGTATAAACTTTCTAAATCTTGGACCACACTCTACTGTTAAACTCTTGGGCCAACAAGTCCAGAAGATGGCATGAAAATAAGATGAATATGACAAATTTGAATAATTACGGTCAGGTAATATCAAATTCTCAACTTCAGGTGTAGGAAGAGATCTCAAGCCAGAAGTGCAGTTGTTTCTGAATATTTGATTAGACAATGTCAAGTCTACAGCCTGGTCATTCAACTCAACTAGAAATTTTCTTAAATTTCCGATAGATTGCCATAATTTATGGAAATTCTGCATTGGCTTGGACAACGTTCAAAAGATAGAGAAGGTAGCTTATATTGATTGGAGATGGCTAAGGAGGGTAACTTGGGCACATCAAAAATGGCTTGAACTAATAAATAGCAATAAACTATGCTACAAACCTCGAGGGTTGAACTTGATATTTTTATTTTTCTCAATTGCTCACAGTAGCGTAAGCTCAATTCTTTGATGAAGGGTAGTTTTATTATTAGCTGGAAGAGAATATCATCATTAATAATTTTGGCACGCACAAATTCTACCCTTGTAAGATTCTGGCAAGTACCAATATTCAAGGAACTCAAATTAATTCTCTCTCCATATTCGAAAGATAGTAATTTTGGTGCGTCAGTAATATGAACTTGCTCAACATAGCAGCATAAGATACTAAGAGACAAAAGCTTAGGCAGGTTTGACATACGGATGCGGCTAAACCCAACACAGTACTGTAATGATATCATCATGATTTTGAGGGCAACATGAAATTAGGCTATGAAGGGTTGATTCAGAAACACTAACATGACATAAGGTTAGATTTTTTATGTTACGACACTTAATTCTATCATCAAAAAGTAGTGCTTTTTGCTTCAGTAATATCTTGCACGAATTTAACTCCAACTGCTCCAATAACTCCATTGAGAAAATGATATCAGCTGACAGTGAAAATTTTCCTGAACGGCTTTTCACCAAAAGTGCGAATTGTGAAACGTTCTTCTTTGCTATGATATCTAACCATTTATCCACTAGACCGTTACAATCAGTTTCATCAAAGAAAGAGATGCAAAGCTTAATAGATGAAATAGGTAGTTTTTCACGGAGATATCTTTCCAATATATCGTCTACAATCCTCAAAAATTTACCATGAAAGTCTACAGACTTACCAGGCTGTCTCGCAAGGTAAAATTTATTAGAATTGAGATGGGGGTTAAAGTCAAATTCATCAAAACTGAGATTAGGGTTCGTAGAGCATGCTTTAAGCCATGGCTTTGACAACACGCTGGTTCGAGCCGCAGTTTTTGTGGGGAGACGAGAGAGTATTTGGTGAAGGATTTTAGTTGGTAACTCTGAAGTTCTATCCATGGCACTAGGGTTTGTTTTTTCTATTTCATGTTGGAGATTCCACGTTAGTATTTAAAGAAGAGAATAACATTGGGAGTCTAGTCCATAATTATAGGTTCACTTTTGTGTCCAATGACACGAGTCTTTGGAGTTTGGAGGAATTCTATTTACACCACAATTTGATCGAACAGATGAGTACAACTCTTGGATTAAAGATTTTTATTAGCAAAAAAATCAGACGAAAATAGAAGAATAGAAAATTATTAAAGGATATTTACTGGGGCTTTTATCTTTCTTTTTTTCTTTCCTTTTATTTCTACATAAATATTCACGTGCTACTTAGTACTTACTGGCACGCTAAAATGGTGTTAGTCGGATAATTAAAACTTTGCCAGATGAACTTCTGATCAGAATTATACAAGTGTGGAAAATTCTCATGTGGAAATGGCGTAAAAGCAACTACTTTTTGCCTCAAATATGGAAAGGTCTCCTCCAATTTATATGGTTTAGAATGAGTTCAATGGAAATAAGATAATAATAATAATAATAATAATAATAATAATAATAATAATAATAATAACAATAATAATAATAATAATAATAATAATAATAATAATTACATACAATTAGCTCAGAAGCGTCAACTTTTATGATTATTCTTTTGTTTCTTTTGAAGTATACTATTGAAGAATTAATCTAAATAACTGGTCACTCAATCGCTTAAACTAATTAAAAATAGTTGAGGGATATATAATATATGTACAATTTATATATAATAGGTGTATAACTATGTATAATCAATATATAATTTATATACAGATTAGAGAAGGTAACATTGAATCTAATCTGCTATTTGTGTAAGATTCCCTCAACTTGAAGTTTCAGTTTTGCATAATTTACCTCCTCTGTCCTTTGGTACTCCTTTATATGAAAATGTCATTTGGAGAGTGCATAGAAACATTCAAAGACGGCCTTTGCCGAGACTTATAGTCTGTTTGGCCAAGCTTCTTCAAGGTCAAAAGCATTTTTTTTCCTAAAAAATAAGTTTTTTATTTTTTTATTTTTTGAAGTTGAAGTGTTTGGCCAAGATTTTAGAAGAAAAAAAAGTGAAGCAAAAGTAGTTTTAGAAAAGCAGAAAAAAGTAGCTTATCTCCAAAAGTATTTTTCTGAAAAATATTTTTGAGGAAAATACACTTAGAAGCACTTTTTAAAAGTTTGATCAAATATTAATTGTTTCTCAGAAGTGCTTTTCAAACTAATTAACCAAACACAAATTGCTTCTCACCAAAAATACTTTTGAAAAAAAACGCTTCTCAAAATAAGTTGATTTTTGCAGCTTGGCCAAACATGCTAGTAGTCTCTTGGTTTGTTTGTTTCTTTGAATAACATATTTGCTTCTTTTTCGGTGATCCATTGAAGGTGTAGTCTTTATATACAATGTATTATCTTTAACTAGTAAATTTATTATTAAAATCGATCTTTACCAAAACATATTTTTGTTCTTTTGACAGAACATAATCAATTATCAAATTAGCATACTCATACAATTCATGAAGTCATGGTTCTGGGATAGTCTTGCAAAATAATGGCCAAAGTAATCAATATATAAACTTAAAATTCGTAGTTCATCTTTCACAAAATGGAACAAAGTGGAGTATATTAGTATTAGCTATTAGAATAAAAAGACAATTATAATTTTTTATTATTATTTTCAAGAATTACCCTACAAGTGGTTTACCTAACTGCTTAACTAAAAATAGTTGACCGGATGTAATATAAATATATATATATATATATATATATATATATATATATATATATATATATTATTAAGATNCTATACCAATCCACTAGTTTATAATCTTACTGTAGTTTATGGAACTATATATCCATTGGCCATTCAGACCATTTGATCAGCCGGCAAAGATAACGAACCCAATCAATTTCAGACCATATCAACAGCATACCATTCGATGTTTAATGGAAAAAACTGAGATAAGCTTAATAAATTAANACGGGGACCTCGAGCTCGATTATATCGGGGGCCTCGAGGTGAGTTAAGAGCAAATAGAGTATGAACAATAAAGTAAAAATAATAAAGCTGAAGAATAATTATGGAGCACAATAAACGAGAAAAGCAGAATAGAATGTTCCATTGTAGTGAATGAGATGATCTTACAAATGATTGCGGTCCCCTTTATATAGAAGGGGAAAATCCTAATATGGTACATTTCCAATTATAGTAAGGAATTCTATTGGTACAGCTGTATAACAACCTAGTACGGACTCATACTATTCCGTAACAATCTTATCCTTTAATTTATGCCCTGATCCACGTGTCCTTGAGAAATTCCCGCTCTTTCTTGAGTGTCATCGAAATTGTACTGTCCTCGAGGCAGATCATGACGGACCTCCGATTTTCTTCTCGAGGTGCGCACATCCCGGCCGAGCTCGATTCTTACTTCGAGCTTCCGAACTCGAGCTCGGTGTATGATTAAGTCTTCGGAATCGAGCTCTTCAATTCAGACCTTATAGAGATAGTCCCCGCGTTTCTTAGAATGAAATAATATGAAACGACTTGAATTCCCGAAGTCCTTCATGATGGCATCACTCGTTATGAAGTAAGCGTTGAAATGACCGAAGCGTCCTATCGGTTCTTTTCCCTAAAAACATTAAATGCACGTCAGAGCCGGTCGGCCATCAATATTAATGAATCGTCGCCCCCTTCCTCTATATATACTTGTTTTCTCTTCTCATTAAGAACTTTTCCACCTCACAACACCTATTATCCTCTATACGTTTCCTTTTTACCACCGGTTCCTCCTCCGTATTAGCTCAAAACCTCACCGGGTTTATTCATTTCTTCCTTCTTTTTCTAAAGAACCGATGGCAAAAACTTCCAAGTCCGTTCCTCAGAAAGAAGGAACCTCCACTTCTACTTCCCGTCTGGCCGGTGGTAAACCGCCGGTGCTTCACGAGATCATACCGAATAATTTTTCCTTGAAAAAGGACTTTATAGTCGAGAACCCTCCCGACGTCCCCGGCAGTCGAGAGCATGCATCGAGATACATAAGGTCAATTGAGAAAAAACACCTCGATGCAGTGAGGAGAGAGTGTAAATGGGAAGAGAAGGTCATTCTGCAAATACCTTCTCGTGAGGAGGACATCAATGCTGTGAGGAGAGAGTGTAAATGGGAAGAGAAGGTCGTTCTGCAAATACCTTCTCGTGAGGAGGACATCACAACTTACGTAAAGGGGTTCCTGAGTGTGTATACATACCCCTTTACGTTGGGTCCCCTCGACCCGCTTGTGCTTGAATTCTGCCGAAGATATCAAGTCACCCTGGGCCAGATTCATCCGTCCTTTTGGCGGATCATAAAAATGATGAGGTTCTTCATCGAAAAGGCCGGGATTGAGTTCACCCTTAGCCACCTTATCCGATTATATCGACCTCAACATTTCCGAGGTTTAATCAAACTCCTACGCCGATCAACCAAGTCCTTCTTTGCTAGTAACGACGAAGACAAGGATCGAGGTTGGATGAGCCGGTTCATCCGGGTGAGGACCGTCGATGTTATTCCCAAGGAGTTCCTGTCGTTCCTCGAGAAATGGAACTTCGAACGTGAGTGGAATTCTTTGCTTTAGTTCTTTTCCATAATTTTGCTAAACTTCGCATAACTATTCCTTTCCCTTTTCTGCAGCGGTCCCGTGGATGCATAATCCGGTCCTCGACCTCGAGGACTGGGTTCGCAAACTAGCTGCTACTTCATCATATGACAAACGCAAGTGGCGGGACTTGTCGAAGGGCAAGTGGGAAGCGAAACACCACGGTACGCGTCATAATGTTTCTTTCCTTATTAAGAATGTCTTCCTTCATGCCGACTCCTCTATCGCAGGTAACGGTGAGTTCTTCGAGATGAGGCCTCCCCTTCCCGGGGAGGAAGTAGGATCTTCGGATCCAAAGCCAAAGAAGGATAACAAGAGAAAAAGGTCCTCGAAGAGCGAGGACACTCAAAGCCAAGCAGAGCCCGCTCGGAGGCGCAAGAAAAGCGTCGTCATCAATGTGGATATTGACTCGGTCCACCAGTCCATGGACAATGACGGTGACGAGATGGAGGGTTCGATGTTGGTGACTCGAACCAGGAAATCTTCCAAGGCTATCAAGCCTGCTGAGATCGGGGCCCCTAGCCTCGAGGAAGGAACTTTAAAAGAAAAAGGGGATGAAGGCCCTGCATCACCTGACATGGTAACTGCTTCTCAAACTTCTGGAAATACTCTAAAGGGAGCGAGCTTAGAAGCTCCTTTGCCTGAACAGAGCACCTCGAATGATCTCCCCGAGGCCATGACAGCAGGTCATTCCTCGTCATTTCCGGCCTTCTCCGAGAATGCCATTAGGGATGCTCAGAACTTGAAGACGTCCGAGCTACGCGGAGTCCCGAGTGAAAATGACCCCTTCCAGGGTTGCTTTGCTGGGGTCGATGAGGCCGACCCAGCGGATGCAAGCTCAATCTTCGAGGAGGCTCAACGTCTTTGCATAATTGTTAGTTTTTAGTGGTACTGCAATTTCTCCAATGCCATATTTTTCTTCTTTTGTCTAATCGATCATTCCTTTCCTTTCTGTAGGCCTTCGACAAATTGAAGACCGAATTGCGTCATTGTGAAGCCGAGTTGCGTAGAGCTTCGAATGAGGAGAAAACCGTTAGGATTCTCCTTGACAAAAAGGAGGAAGAACTGAAGCATCTTCGGTCGGAGTTGACCAAAGCTCTTGAATACAAGAGTGAGTTAGAAAAGCAGGTAACCTCTGTTCTTAAAAAATACGGGCTACCTCTCCCGTCTTCGGAGGCTAATACTTCAATGTCTCAGCTGCAGCAAAAGTTAGATATGATTGGGCAGCTCCGGGGCGAGGTAGATCAAGTTCGAGCTGAGTGCAATGAATGGAAGGCGAAGATGGACACCCTCGTTGTGGCTAAAAATGATGCACAGGCGAAGGTATCGGCCCTCGAGGTTCAACTTCGGAATGC